CTATCAGTGGTAAGTCAACAGTAAAAGTTAAATTTTTGACGCTATTATAAATTTCCGTCTCAAATGACCCTTTTGTCATTTTGAAAAAGATTTACATCGATATTGGGTATCACAAAATAGCAGAATTTTTAAGTGTAGGTATTCTTTATCGCGTTTTACGGTTATATTTATTTTCTCCAAATTTATTTCCTGTTTTGAAATTGTTGCAAAATTTTTAATTTTTAAAAAATGTCAGCAATGTGTATAGCAAGTCAAGGGAAATTATCCTGAAAGAGGTTAAATTATATTTGTAAATTGCTTAATAAACTTTGTTTAATTTATACATTACATGACATAATTAGATAATCTACTCAATTGATTTATTTATAAATTGTAATAAAAATTCAATATATTGACATTATTACCTACACATTATATAATATGGTACCAAGCGGTTTTTTTAAACATTGATTTTTTTTTCAAAATCTTTTACGATAAAAATTGAATAAAATGTAGATAGCTGCAATTGTTGTAAAAAAAAGAAGATTTATAGTGAGTTGCCTTTTGAACAAATTTAAATCTTGCAAAACTCAAAAACCAACAGAAATTTGAAAAATTTTGTTTTACATTAATTCGTACAAAATTAAGCTTTATGAACTTGCTTTATTTATTATTAATAATGATAAGCGATAGAGCTTGTCTAGAAAGATCTATATTTTGTTCCTACTTATAACATAAAGAGCTATTTAACGAAATAAAATCTATAAGGAATAGTCTTTAGTTTTACACCAAGTTGACTCTAAAATCAATGATAATTGGGATGAGAATTTATTTAGTCGTCGCATTTGCGCAGCGATCTCAAATTCATTTGCGTATTGAACATAAAAATCCTTTGTTTGGATAACAAAGAAAATTAGTAGAAATTTAGCTTATAACAAAATGGTTGTAACAAAGAAAAAAACCCGGATTATCAATGGTAAAGAATTATTATTGGTTGAAAAATATTTTTTTAATAAATTTGTAGATTCCAACGACCATTTTTTCATATTGAGAAAAGTTTACATCGATTACGGCTACCACAAAATCACGAATTTTGTTAATATTTTTTTCATATTTTTCTATCTCATTGCTTACGTCTTAGAAGTGTATTTTTTAATCACTCATTGGAGTGTCGATGTTTTGGCCCGATTTAGTACCGCATTATTGATCTCAACATATGTAAGTAGAAAAGTGTGAAAAACGAATCAAAAATGTTTTTAGCTCCTCAAAGGAATGATTTTTCCTCAAATATACCAAACCACCATTTTGGAAACATACAACTCTTTCACTCAAATCGGATGGCTGCCTGAAAATATATCAAAAAAAGTTCAAAAAAAGCTGGAACAAAGGACCAAAACAACGATAGTTTTAAACGTCATTTTCTTCAGTTACATGTTTGTTATGGGACTTATTAACCTGCCTTTGTTTGGAGAACCGAACGATTTAATATTTTCGACTGAGATTTTTACAGAATTGTTTGGCAAATGGAGTTGGATACCTTCTTTTTTGTACTACGCAGCATTTCCCTTGGTCAGTTATAGTGCCGTGCGTATTTTTTTCGTATTTTTGTACGGAGTGTTGCATTTGGACGTCCAAATTTTGCTTATCAACGAAGTTTTGAGAAAACTCTCTCGCAATAATCGAGTGGATGACCCGAAATTCAAAGATCCTAAATACCAAGAAGATATTTACAAAAAATTGTGTTCTTGTATTAAGCAGGACGTTGCGTTGAGAGAGTATAAATTTGTGTGTTTTTTCAATTTTTTAAGTATTTTTTACAGCATTTTGTCCCATTTGAGAGGAACAACGAAGACTGGATTACCGATTTTTCTTCTTTTGATGTTTCTTTGCACAATATCGTTATTTTATAACGTGATGACTGTAAGTTGTAGTTGTTTTATTTCGAAAAAATTGAAATTTATTTCAAGTATACACCAACTATTAGTAATCTTTTACGAGTTCGAATGATATCCTTAACTGCCGCTGTTGTTATAACTATTTTTCTTTATGCTCTAACTGGTCAACATGTTACCAATCAGACAAGTCTTGTTTTTGAAGAACTTTGTAAATGCCCCTGGTATATGTGGAATGTCAAAACTCGTAAAATTTATCTCACTTTTATGCTGAATAATGTTCGACCTATTCAAGTCGATTTTGCAGGAATTTGTTTAAATTTAGATTTTTTTCTAATAGTAAGTGGTTAGATTTAGGTATAAATATTTATTTTTTTTGATTATTTCAGGCAACACGAGGTGCATTTTCTTATGCTTTAGTGTTACATCAAATGAGAGGCATTTAAAAATTTTCATTTTTAACATTTTTCTCCTACATTTTTTTTTTTATTCAAGTTCAACACTTAATTGCAAAAATTTATTTTGTTCGTAAACGTCACAAAAGTGACCACTTTTATGTCTAAATGTCACAAGTAAAAAGTTTCCCTTTGAGCTACGGAGTAAAAATTTTGTTTTTGTGCCTAAGAGTTTTTACTTTTACCAGGACATTGATCAAGATAAACTTTTTTCTCTCTTACAGTAACCATAAAATGTTTAAACAAAAAAAAAATTATTAATTATTTATTTTAGATACCAAAAACATTTTGTAATGCTTATTTGTTGTATTTTTTGTTGATTACGCGACATTAAAAAATTGTATGCTGTCTTCATTTTTTTATTAATTGATAAAATAAAGACATTACGCAAATAATTTTTGTTTTATTTATCCATGTAATACCAACTTAATGTCAATTACTGAAGAATAACAGTGAATAATAAATATTTCGCTTAGTGTAAATGTTTCAATAAATATCAATTATTTAAAAAATTGTAATAGTTTTTCTACTAAAGCACAGGCAATAATATTAGTACACGTTTTGCGATGAGGACAATAGGAAGAAAAAATGTAATCAGTGGTAAGTCAACAGTAAAAATTATATTTTTTAAGCGATTATAAATTTCAGACTCAAATGACCCTTTTTTCATTCTGAAAAAAATTTACATCGATATTGGGTATCACAAAATAACGAAATTTTTATCTGTATTTTTTATCGTGTTTTACGGTTTTATCTATTTTCTCCAAATTTATTTCCTGATTACAAATTTCAGTTTTGAGATTATTGCAAAATATAGCACAATCACTTTTCTGTCAGCCTACGTAAGTATAAGAAATTTTCCCCCAGATTTTGATTTTTTCAATGTTGCAGTTGTTCAATGTGATGGTATTTTCTATCATTTACGAGAAAAATATTTTGAAAACTTATGAAATTTTTACTCAAATCGCTTGGCCCTGCGACAAAGTCTGCAAACCCCTTCAAAAAATCATTCTACAAAAATCAAAATCCGTTAAATATTTGAATTGTTTTTTTCTCGGTTTTATTCTCTTCATGGGATTTATTAATTGGCCATTGTTGGGAGATCAAAGCGACTTTTTACTCTGTATTCAAGTTTTTAAAAAATATTTTGGTTCCTGGTCACCTCTGTTTCAATTTTTGTACTATCTGGGATTCCCCGTTATTGGATACAGTGCCGCTCAAATTTTTTTCATAATTTTGTATGGAGTTTTACACTTGGAAGTCCAAATTCGTCTCATAAACCAACTTCTTCGGAATATATCCCGTAATGTAATACTCGAAGACTCAAAAAATGTTAAATATCAGGAAAATGTTTACAAGACTTTGTGTCAATGCATCGAACATGATATTACTTTAAAAAAGTATAAAACCCTTATTTAATTCATCTATAATTTTTTTTTGCAGAGTTTTGTTTGATTTAAACAAAGAAGTGAAAAGTGCTTTGCCTATTTTTCTAATTGCAACACTGCTTTGGTCCGTTTCTGTGTTTTTCTTTGCAATAACGGTGAGTAAAAATTGTTTAGTAATTCGTAATGATGTTTTTCAGTTCTTGGGAAGTATGAGTATTGGGATACAAATTCGAATGATAGCATTCGTCGCTCTTGTTGTTTTTGTTATCTTAAGCTATTCTATGGTTGGTCAACACCTTATCAATCAAGTATTCAAAAAAATAATAAAAACACACCAGTTAATAGTTTTTTTTAGACAAGTAAGATTTTCGATGCACTTTTTGAGTGTCCCTGGTATACATGGAATATGAAAAATCGCAAAATTTATCTTAATTTTATGCTAAATACTATTCGTCCTATTAAAATTACTTATGCTGGAATTTGTATAGACAGCAGTTTTTTTCTCTCTGTAAGTATAATATTGGCATAAAAACTGCAAACAATAGCAACATAACATTACGAAAAATTCTTCAGAATTTGTGAAATTCTAAAGCCCAGCAAATCTCAAAAAAACTTTGAAATTCTCAATAACTCCCTAAAAGCCTTTAAAATGTTATTTGCAAATCAGTCAAAAAAATGTAGGTGTATTTTAATCTTATCATTATTAATTCTAGATAACAAGAATAACACTTTCCAATGCCTTTATGTTATACCAACTACGAAATTCATAAGTCTCAAATACCATGGAATTATGTACAATTATGCACAAATTATATTATTATTTGTTCTGTTTATGTTTCAATTATTACTACGCTTAAATATGTAATTAGTTAATTAATTTTATTTATTCCAATTATTTGTTATTTATAAAATTACAGTAAAATAACATAATATAAATAAATGTTTGGTAGTATTGTTTTGTTTTTTTAAATAGAAACATAGACGAGAAAAATTGATGGTATCTACAGGTGCGCCAGAACTAGCGCCCCAGAAAAAATGCCATATAAGGAAATGTTAAAAAAAAAATTAACTATAAGAATTTCGGTTTAAATTTTTATTTATTTCTGTTTCGAAGTTTTTTTGCTACAGGCTATTAAAAATTTAACTGTAACTGAACGTACAAAATATTTTCCTCATGTCACTTCTTCCACACAAATCCAACCACCTTATCTGTGTTTTGCCCAACACATCCGGGGTGAATTCCTATAAAACGCCACACAATCTCTCCAAATTCACTTAGTCCAACAATGTCAACCCCAAACAACCTTCTCCTGCTCTTCGAGCACCCCCAAGAGCCAGCCTACGTCCCCAAAGGCTCCAAAAAAACCGTCTTCAACGTCCCTTACAATTACCTCCCGGACAAATACAAACCCATCGGCGTGGCCTTAACCGACCGCTTCGGCGCCCAAACCAACGAAAAAATCCCTTTGAAAAAAATCGCAATCCCGGAATTGGGCGAAATCCTCGACTTGGCCCGAGACGAAAACTTCTCCCTGTTTTTGCCAAAACATCGCGACATCGCCGGCCAACTAATCGAAATTTTCATGGGGATGCGCACTTGGGAGGACCTCCTCTCCATGGCGGTCTACGCCCGTGACCGTGTCAACCCCTACTTGTTCAACTATGCCTTCTCCGTGGCTCTCCTCCACCGCGAGGACACCAAGAAGTTAGACTTGCCCTCGCTTGCCCGATTTTTCCCGGATAAATTCTGCGATTCTAAAATTTTCGTCCGGGCTAGGGAGGAGGCAAAGCTTGTTCCCGAGGGTTTGAGGACGCCACTGGTCATCCCGAAGGACTTCACCGCCTCCGAGTTGGAGGAGGAGCAGCGATTGGCGTACTTCAGGGAGGATATTGGGGCGAATTTGCACCACTGGCATTGGCATTTGGTGTATCCCCTGAATGGGAGTAAGGAAATTGTTGCGAAAAATCGCAGAGGGGAGTTGTTCTACTACATGCACCAGCAGATCATCGCCAGGTACAATTTTGAACGGTTTTGCAACAAGTTGAAACGAACTGAAAGATTCAATGATTTTACTCAACCCATCAAAGAGGGGTATTTCCCAAAGTTGGATAGCGCTGTTGCCAGTAGGGCGTATCCTCCACGTGTTGCTAATCAAAAATTCCAGGATTTGAGACGCACCGCCGATCAAATAAATGTAGATGTTGAGGATTTGAAGAGGTGGAGTGATCGGATTTTTAATGCGATTCATGAAGGATTTGTCAAAAATGTGAGTAAAGACTTTTTTTTTAATGGAAATTACCAAGTCAAAATTTTGGGTAGCCACAAATTTGTTTTGTCCCTAGAAAAATTATGGTTGTTTTCAAATTGAGATGTTGTCAAAATTTTGACTTTTATGATATTTCTTTGTCTAAAGACAGAATTCAGTGCTAATAATTTTGCATGTTGTGGAAAAAATGAGGTTCTTGCTACAAAAACTTTGAAGAAAAAGATTATTTAGAAAAAATACATTATTCTGATGATTGGCAATAAATTTTGTGTAATTTATTGAAATGAAAATTCTTCTTCAGCTTTAGTTTCAAAATTGTTACTTATTCGAAAATTTAATTGCGTTCTTTGCGATGTTTTTTCTCATTTATGTTTATTTTGTATTCTTGTCAATTGTTTACTAAAAACTGAGAATGTTTTACAAACTGCGTCTACATTTTGACGCCATTTTTTACGCCATTCAACAAAAATATGGCTTAAAATGTGTTAGGTTGTTAGTAAGCAAATATTTTACAATAATATAATAATAAAACAAAAAAATAGCACCAAAATATGTGGTTTTGATAGTAAATTGCCTGTACCGAATTTCATAAAAATTGATTATTTCATTAAAAAATTATTAAAGAAAAGCGAAAATATTTTTAAAACTTTGGCGCCCTCTAATTCTTAAACGGTACAACTTGGTATAGAGGTAAATTGGGTTGAATCGCTTTATTTTGACCTGGGAAATTTCAGGTTACTTTTTGACCCTACTTTTTGTTACACCCTGTATTAATTCTTTTCTGTAATTAAAAGAATACGTTTTCGGGCCCTTTTCATGATATCATTAATATTATTACAACAAATTTACAAATGTACAAGCCACAAGCACTAATAATTTCTGTTTCATAAAATAAAGAGTGATATTAATTGTATTAGAAGAATTTTACTAGCAAAAATCCTAAAAAATTGGACGGTTATAAATGACCAACTTTCAGTCAGATTTTGTTGTGTTGTCAATCAACGTTTTGATTTTTGCTTTGAAGATGGATAAAAGGGATGAAAACAGGAAAACACAATTGTGTATTTTAAGCAAAATATACGAAAATAAAGATATTTTAGCTCACAAAACAAGAGCAGGAGATTTTGCTCTATGTGAAATCGATTACTTCTGTTTTTAAATTAATTTTCAATGAAGAGAAAGAACCAATTTCGCTTTCTAATAATAGAGATTTAATTTTAAAATATTCGAAATCATCAATTTATTTTGGATTAACATTAGATGTGATTATTCCATGATAGCCAAAAAAAATATTATTACAATTTATATCTTATTTGTGTGAATTCAGATTTTCTGGGTTAACCAACAAAAAACGAAAAAAAAAAGATCGAGACTAATTGTAGAAGACGACCAATCAAAAAAAAAAAGACGATCAGAAAACTGCAAGCTCAAATTTCTCATTAAAAATATTCTTATTTTTAATTTGTAATTAATCCCTTGTTGTTTTTGTAGTACATATTATTTTATTTTACATCCAAGATTATTATAATAAACTATTTTACACAGTGTATTATAGGTAAATAAACAACTTTTAAACTTACGTTTTTCTTTGTGTGCCGCCAAATTTTGAAATCGTTAAAAGTGTGCCGCGACAAAAGAAAGGTTGAGAATCACTTTTTTACACAATAAAATTGTCTTTAAAAAAATTAGTACTTCCAACTGCAGGCATTATTTCCTAAAAATTATGAAACAGAAATACTTGTAATATGTTAAAATCTATTTGTATTTTCAATTTTACAAGTTGTAATTTGTACTTTTATATTTTCTTTTTATGAAACCAAATTCTAAAAGTTACAAGCTACAAGTCTAATAATATTAGATTGTAATTTATTATGAAACGAACTTGCGAACTATTCGTTTCTAAATTTCTAAAAACTGTTTTTTTTTTATGTTTCATCTCTAAATTTTCATAGACGATTTTTGTGTTGACATTTAATGACATTGTTTTCAAATTAAGTAAAAACCGGAACTGCCAATTATCTTTATTAAAATTACCATGAATGAATTTACTACAACTTTTTCAAGTTTAATTCAGAAACTATCACATGTAATTCAGATTAGTCAATCGTTTTTCAGAAAGTGTTAATTGTAATTCAGAAGAGCAAATTGAATTTTAGAACCATGAGGTGTAATTCAGATTACACCTTTTTCAAGTGTAATTCAGAAAGCGTAAGATGTATTTGAGAAAACGTTAATTCTAATTTACATTAGTCATTTCTATTTCAGAAAGTATGAATTGTAATTCAGAACCGTAAACTGAATTTCAGAAACCATCAGATTCAGATTAATTAATTTGACTTCAGAAAGCGTAAATTGAAATTCAGATTATTCAATTGTATTTCAGAAAGTGTTAGTTATAATTCAGAGTTTGTCATTTGTAATTGAAAATCCGTCAATTGTATTTCAGAATTCATTATTTTTATTTAAAAATTACATTATCAAAATTTCTTTGAAAATAACATATCGCATTTATTTTGTAAAATACCAAGTTTATGTAATTCTTTAATTCTGAAAATAAAATAATTCGTGTTTATGTGAAAACTTCATTTTGAGATAACAGTAAGTTACTCATCTAAATTACAATTGATATTTTCTGGATTACATGTAACATGAAATTGAATTTATTTACTTTTCTGAATTACATGTAATGGTTTCCGAATTACAATTATTACTTTATGAAATACAATTGACTAATCTGAATTCCAATTTATGCATTCTGAAATTAAATTAACTAATCGAATTACATCTTATGGTTTTTGAAACTCATTTTAGTCTTCTGAATTACAATTAACACTGTCTGAAACACAATCAATTTACGCTTTCTGAAACTAAATTTTCTAATCTGAATTACATGTGATGGTTTCTGAATTACACTTGAAAAAGGTGTAGTTAATCTAATTTCAGAAAACATTAATTGGAATTCAGATGAGTAACTTACTCTTATTTCAAAATGAAGATTACACATAAACACGAATTATTTTATTTTCAAAATTGAAGAATTACATAAACTTCGTATTTTACAAAATAAATAAGATATTTTATTTCCAAAGGGATTTTGTAAAGTAATTTTAAAATGAAAATAACGAATTCTGAATTACAATTAACGAATTTTCAATTACAAATGACAAACTCTGAATTACAATTAACACTTTCTGAAATACAATTGACTAATCTGAATTTCCATTTACACTTTCTGAAATTAAATTAACTAATCTGAATTACATCTGATAGTTAATTAGTAATTACCTCTAATAAAAACTATTAAAATAAATTACAAGAAACATACTTATATTGCTATAAGTATTATTGAAGCTGTAACAAACTTATTTTTATTTCTTTATTTCGTTTTTTGCTGATATTTTATGAATGTATAAAAATCATTTCATTTTGGAAAAAAGCTTTAAAAGAGCATTTTGTTTTTTTATTTTTTTTCACTAGAAGTTGGTGCTATTTGACATTTTAGAGGTTAAAAGGTTAGTGAAGGTGCTTTTAAAATTGCGTCAAAAAATGTCCCTTTTAAAAACAAAATTAACCTGTTTCGGAGGTTTTATTTGCATTTTTATAGAACACTCTGTATCTCATGAATGGATGGTCTCATTTAATTTTGGTAAAAAGTTTTGAAAACCTTGCTAAAATAGCTTTAATTTGATGTGCCACAAGTAGGGTAATGCCATTTAAATTTTTAAAGTTGAGGTGCGTAGGGGTTAAGGGGTTACTAAGGGTGTCAAAAAATGTCCCCCTTTGAAACAAAATCGACCTGTTTCGGCGTTTATGCAAAGTTTTTTTAGTTTCTGAGCTATTCGAGGTGGCTCGTTTTCATTGAAACACCCTGTATCTTACGCTTTCTAAATTACACTTGAAAAAGGTGTAGTAGTGACTGCTTGGCATTTTCATTAAAAAAAAAACGACTTTACTTAAAAAAGAAATGTGTTTATGTCATTTTGATTGTAGGAAAAAGGACAAATAATTTTCTTGACTGAAAATGAAGGTATCGACATTTTGGGAAACATAGTGGAGTCGAGTGTTTTATCCCCCAATAGAACCGTCTATGGCGACTTGCACAACATGGGGCATGTCTTCAGTGCTTTTATCCATGACCCCGATCACAGATATTTAGTAAGTACCAGAAAAAAAAATCAATTTAAATTCAATTCAAATTTAGGAAACTTTCGGTGTGATGGGTGACGTTGCCACCGCCATGCGAGACCCATTTTTCTACCGTTGGCACTCCTACATCGACGACATCTTCCAACAACACAAAAACACCCTCCCTCGTTACTCGGAAGACACCCTCAAGTACCCCGGAATCACCATCACTGGAGTCGAAATCGACACCTCCAACATTCTTAACACTTTTTGGCAACAATCCGACATTGACTTATCCCGCGGGATGGATTTCCAAGAGGAAGGTTCAGTTTTTGTCCGTTTCACCCATTTGCAACACCAACCCTTCACTTACAACATCAGTGTCAAGAATGACAATCCTGGTACCAAAATGGGCACTTGTCGCATTTTCCTTGCCCCGAAATTCGACGAAAGAGGTAGAGCTTGGGTTTTGAGGGAACAAAGAGTGATGTTTATTGAACTTGACAAGTTTATAGTCACATGTAAGTAGCCAAATTTTTGTTATTGAAATTTTGAATAAATTTTGTAGTGAAACAAGGAGTCAACACGATTCAACGCAAATCGGACCAATCCTCAGTCACAATTCCCTTCGAGAGAAGTTTCCGGGATTTGGACACAAATCGACCAAGTGATGGGACAGATTTGAACCAATTTAACTTCTGTGGGTGTGGTTGGCCCCAACATTTGCTCATTCCCAAGGGAACTCCTGAAGGGATGCCCTGTGAGCTTTTCGTCATGATCTCAAACTATGATGATGATAAAGTTGAGCAAAACATGGATGGGGCTTGTAATGATGCTGGGAGTTACTGTGGGATTAAGGATAAGTTGTACCCAGATCGTCGCTCCATGGGTTACCCCTTTGATCGATTACCACGAGAAGGGGTAAAAACCCTTCGTGAGTTTTTGACCCCCAATATGCGAGTTGCTGATGTTACTATTCGTTTCAAGGACAGGACAATTGCCCCAAAACAAGCTTTTTAAACGGTTTATGATTAATAAAATTTAATGCATTTTTAACTGGTGTTTTATTCCTAATTAATCACAACAAATACATAGACAGTCACACTCTTATTAATGACTTATTTTGAGCCCTAACCAAACAATATGCAATTTTATTTCAATCGATTTGCAAGTTTTTGAGAATAGTTTTCTCATCTATTCTTTCCGTTGAGTTGCTTCCACTGAAAAGGCCCCACCATGAGGCTTTCTTGACTCTTTTACTTTCATCGGCTTTGAAATGAACCGATTCTTTGAGCCAGGAGGCGTATTTGTCGACCATACTCTTGGTTTCAGAGTCTAATTCTTCGACAGAGGGCGCTTCACCGCCGTAGTCGGCGGGGAGGATATCCTGGGGGACTCCTTCAGGAATACTTCCTAAATAAAAACTATGAGACTGACAATTTCCATTGTCAAAAAAATTATTACCTTTGTGGAACTTAACCATGCTTAAAAGCTCTGATTTAATCAAGGGCAAGACTATCCTCATAATGTGGTGAATCCAGGAGGCCGTATTTAGGATATGGATGCCTTTTAGGCGAGCTGGATGAGCTTCCTGGATTAAAAATTAATGAAAATTTTATAGTTTTCTAAAAAATTAAATTACCTGAATGTAGAACATAAAAGCCTTCAGGGCAGGTAGACTGACTCTGGCAAGATGGCCGATTGAAACTCCTTTCATATCAAAAATGACGATATAACTGGAAAAATTACAAATTATTGTGTTTACAATTTAATAATTATAAAGTCATTGATTGCTCGCTGGCCTTGGCTAATTAAATGGTAGTTTGCTCTTGATTAAAAAAATAATAATAATGTGAACATCACACGACTTTCCTTATCCTACTTATTTGGAAAACATCTTTACGACAATAATTTAGCGTTGCAAACCCAGATTACATGCGAAATAGATTATAGTTATAGTCGCGGGTTTGAGTCTGGGGTCAATTTGTTTAGTTCGCTACCCATTATTATTTTTATTTTATCACATTTTACATACCAAATTTCAAGTTTCTAGGTTTTATCATTCTCAAGATATGCTGTTTACAGACAGACACACACACACACGACCCAATTGCCCAAACCAACTTTTTTAGTGTCTTGAAGCTATAATTTGTAGAAATGTAAAAATCTGTTTAGGTCAAATTGCAGCCAGGCAAAAATAAGAGTGCAAAAAATTTTTTGTTCAAATGAAAAAAAAAGTTCTAAATACAGCGTGATTCATGTAAAACTACGAGCTTGGACAACCCTATACCTAACTCAAAATATGATTTAAAATTTTAAAATCAGATTTTATTCAATAAATAAGAAGTTTCAATTTTCTAAAAAAATTTAAAAGTTTTTAATATAAATACACTGTGATTCATGTAAAACCACAAGCTTGGACAACCTTATACCTAACCCAAAATATCATGTCCATAAAACACCTACTAGATTCAAAAATCAGGTTTTATTAATTCAAATTTTGAGACATTAAATGAGTAAAAGAGGCATTTTGTAACAAAAAAAGGTTTTATAATACAGTGTCAGAACTCGCGTCCCAGAAAAAATTTCAAGTAAGATAAGATACCAGGAATATGGAAAAAATATTCAGAAATTCTATCTGTCAAAAAATTTTGACATTTGACATTTTTTATGTCTATTTAACTGATGATTTTGTAACTACCAACTTGTGTTCATCTTGCACTTAATGAAAATTTTGTAACAGAAAAAAAGCAAAAATAAGTGTTTCAAAAAAGATTTCTTAACAAATGTGTGATCTAAATACACATACCTAACCCAAAATATGATATCTATGAAACATAGTAGATTTGAGATCAGATTTCATTTAATCAAAGTTTTGGACATCCTTGACAGAGTGTTATTAACTGTCAATTTGACAATTATTTTTTCTTGAATTTTTGTTGGACTTTTTTAGAGATGAGCAAAACATGTATAACACCAAAATAATTATATTTTTAAATATCTTTGGCGGAACTGTCAATCATCTAATAATTGTTTTTTTTTTAAATTCTTGTAGAATATTTTTCTAAGGATGTCCAAAACATAATAATCGAGGAGTAAAAATATTAAGTTCTATAAAGCTAATTACTGAATTCAATGTTTGTTTTTGGACATCCTTGACAGATTTAAACTTATACAGGCTGAATCATAAGAAACGCCTCAAATCATAACTCCATTATTTTTAAAGATATTACAATATTTTTTGAAACAAAGTTGAACAGTTTCTTGTCATCTATGGTTTGACATAGATGCTCAATCAATACTGCTTTCTGTCTCACCGGAAGTAACGCTAATTTCAGTTTTTTAAATGTAACACTCCGTATATTTTATTATTTTTGGATTCCTCATTAAATTGTCTTTCCAACAAGCTTACTTACTATTATTTATCACAACTTTTAATTTTAGGCAATTTAAAAATGAAATTATATAAAGTAGGCTGTGGAATTAATAGAACATTTTTATTCATTTTATCTAACAATTGGTAAAAAAAATGATCAACTTTGAGCAAACATAAAGTATTATAACGTCTTTAAAACTAATGAAATTATGCTTGGGGCGTTTTTTATAATGCAGCCTGTATACAGGGTGCGCCAGAACTCGCACCACAGAGAAAAATGCCAGAAAAATGTTTAAAAAAATTTATCCATAAAAATTTCAAAGTTATGAAGGTTTAAATTTTGCACTTTTATTTTATTTATTTCTGTTGGAAAAATAATTTTCCAAGTTTTTTAAAGTTATACAGGCTGTATCATAAGAAACGCCCTAAATCATAACTCCACTATTTTTAAAGATATGACAATACTTCTTGGAACAAAGTTGAACAGTTCCTTGTCATCTATGGTTTGACATAGATGCTCAATCAATACTGCTTTCTGTCTCACCGGAAGTAACGCTAATTTCAGTTTTTTAAGTGTAACACCCTGTATATTTTATAATTTTTGGATTCCTCATTAAATTGTCTTACCCTTCTGCAAGTCCATCTTCTGATAAGACACAGTCGTTGTACATGCAGAACCCTTTGACAGCATCGCTGAATATCATTTTGGTGGGGTCTGGGTCCCTCACGCTGTATAACAGGACTTTGTACCCTTCCGGGGTCGCCTTAGGCAGTCGGATTAAATTTCTAGACAAAAAACCCATAATCATGACAACCGAATTGTATTTGTCAAAATTCAAAATTAGACGTTTCATTTCCAAAAGTTTCTCGTGCTATTATGTAATCAAAATTCTAGTATGAGTTTGTTTTTAAAAAACCTTCCGAAATCATTCTTTCGTGCAATTGTAAGTCGAGTCAAAATTTCAGTGGTTTTGCTTCAAGACCGTGTTTCAGGTTTCTTCACGACCGATTTTTGACAAAGCAACTTCGCTTTTCCCATCTATTGCCCACCAATCAGCCAAATTACCGATTCTGCAAATTGGCAGAAGCCATGCAAGGACTATTTGCTTCAGTTCGAATGAAGACAGGAGGAAGCAATTCCTGAAAAAGTACAGCTTTGGGTACGATCGACGATACTCAAAAAAGGCGAAGAAAAGTCCCAAAACTTCGGCGAAATCGTCAAAAACGAAACAGAAAATTTCTTCCGGTTCTGTCGAATGTTCTGTCGAAAAAGGGGAGATTGAGTGTTCCATCGATTGCGGAAAGTTATCAGGAGGTCGGAAAGAAGGTTCAAAAGCCAAATCAAGTTGTTCCCTCAAAAAAGATAAGCCACTCAAAAAAGAAGAAATCCCGATTTCGAAAAAACCTCCAATCCCGAAGTATAAAAAAGAAATAAGCCAATCAGAACGATGCGACGTTAAGGCTTTGACTGGTACTTGGGTGAGCAAAAAATGTATCAAATTTGACTTTTCCTGTGGTAAAAAATGTGCCAAACGTGACCCTACCACAAAACCGGTCAAACTTGAAGATGAATATAAGAAGAAACCTTCACTTTTCGAAATGTGCAAAAAGGCTTCTTCGAAAGAACTCGCAAGGAAGGCAAGTCAAGAGAAGAAAGAAGCAAGTTGTAAGCCAAAATGTGGTAGCAAAACTGAAATGAAGAAAAAAGAATCGACTTGTGGTAGCAAAACTGAAGTGAAGAAGAAAGAATCGACTTGTGGTAGCAAAACTGAAGTAAAGAAGAAAGAATCAATTTGTGGTAGCAAAACTGAAGTAAAGAAGAAAGAATCTACTTGCAGCCAAACAAAAACTGAGAAAAAATCAAAACCGTGTTCGGCAAAAGAGAAGAAAGAAGAAAAAGTAGTGAAACCTTGTGGGGGCACTGGAGACGAAGAAAAAGTCGACCAAAGTCCTCTAATGCAGTGTGTGGAACAATGTTCAAAACGTGGGAAAAAGAAATCAAAAGGAACACACGACCCTAAATCTTCATGTAAAAAGAAAAGCGGTAAAAAACCACATTGCAAAACGGCAAAACATAAAAAACCTTCCAAAGAAACCCAAAAAAAGAAATCTTGTAAGCCGTGTACTAGTAAAAAAGAAGAAACCAAAAAAGGGGCTAAATCTGAAAAACCTTGTTCCAGTCAAGAAAGCAAACCTAAAGACGTAAACTCTCACTGTCCTGAAGCTAAAACTGACGTTAAACCCGTAAATACTTCACTTGTCATGGATACTTACGATCAAGAGAAGAAATCTTGTGAAGAAACTGATCAAAAAAGTGCGGAAATGATTGAAAAATTAAAGAAAGAGTTAGAAGAATGCAGAAAAGCAAAACAAAGAGACAGACTTGAAAAGGCCAAAAAGTGTTTACCGGAAATGAAGCTCGATACATCACTTCCGCCTGCAAAAGAACAGGAAAAAGATGTTATATCAGGAAGCAAAAGCTTTATTAAGAATGTTTGCGATGGTATATTTAGTAAAAATGAGAAACCACCAAGTAAAAGCAAGTCGGCTCCTGTTGTCAAAAAAACGAAACCTGGGAAACCGGTTAAAATAATCAAGAGTGCTGGTTGTACATTTGACTTGGACCCGAGTCACTGTAAGAAAAAGAAAGACGAAAAGAAGAAGGAAAAAACTGGTAAAGAAAAATCAAAGAAAGAATGCAAAGAAGAATCTTCAAAAAAGAGACGAAAACAAGCAGCACCTTGTAAATACGAAGAATTAAAACTAAAATCAAGTTGTGAGAAGAGCAAACCTGAAAAGAAGAAATCATCCTGTGGTTCTAAAGAGAAATCGGCTGAAAAGATAGATCCGTGTGGAACACAACAAAAAGAGAAGAAAGCAGAAAAAGCAAGTTGTTCAAAAAAAGTTGAGAAGATCTTGCCATGTGACCAAAAAGAGAAGCAAGCAGAAAAACCAAGTTGTTCAAAAAAAGAGACCAAGAAAATTTCGCCATGTGACCAAAATGAGAAGAAAGTAACACCTGAATGCGAGAAAAAATCATCAACTTGTTCAAAAACTGAGAAAAAGAAGGATTTTTCATGTGGTTCAAAAAAATCCGAGACCAAAACATCATGTTCCAAGCAACCTAAAAAATCAGAAAGTGTTTGTTCTAAGAAATCGGATAAAAAAGCTTCTCTTGTATCTTGTAAAAAAGGGAAGAAATCAGAATCTGACTGTAAGACAAAAGAAGAAGACGGGCCACCTGATCAAAGTCCAATTATGCAATGTATAGCACTTTGCAGAAAAAAGAAGAAAGCTAACACTCCCCAACAAGGTAAAGGAATACCTCCCCGAGATAAATCAGAATGCTCTAAAGATCCCAAAGTCTTTAAAAAATTAACTGTCTTTAATGAAACACCTACATGCAAAGAAGAAAAAGAAGAAATTAAAAATTTTGTTCCATGCAAATATGAAGATATCAAGCCAGGAATAAGAAAAGTAGAAGATTGTGACTCTCATGGCCAAATTTACCAACAGTTTGTTTCTGGTAATGGCAAAGAAGAAAAGGCGAGAAGTTTGGTATGTCCAAAATTTGTGAATCCGTGTCAGAACGAGGAAAAAAGTGAAGATACTTGCAAGAAGGAGCCGGTGAAGAGAGATCCGTGTCAAAAGGCGAAGAATGATTGTAATTAATTTTATTTTATTTTTGCATCGAGGTTTTATGGAAATTAAAAATTTGTTTAGTTTTTTATATTTTATCGTCTTTTGAAAGTGTATTAAATTTGTTGGGCAATATACATATTTTTGATTTCTTTATCCTCGTAATTAATTACAAAGAAAAGAAGAAACCAAAAAATGATTTCTTTTTTTTTCCATATTGTGTATTTAAATTTATTTTTTGTAGTGTTGTATGCAAAAGAAAATATCAAAGAAAATAAAGATCTAAAAACCAGCAAAAGTGGAAATAAATTGCCAAAAGTGGCAACAGGAAAATATGTGAAGAAAAGTGCAAGTACCGAAAGCAAGAAAGTATTAAAATCAAGTGACCCAAAACAGAAAACATTTATAGTTGTTCGTTCCAAAACCAAAGTAAAGTATCAAAGCTCATTAAAGTATGAAAACTTCAAATGCTTGTCGGAACAAAAATCAGAAGAAAAAAAGAAGAAAATCACATCTTCAAAGAAAAATGATACCGAATCTGAAAGTTTGTTACCTCTTCTTAGAGTAAAATCACCCATGATTAAACCTAAAGATTGTCAAATCGACTTAAAATCACAATTGTCAAGTAAAGAATGTTGCGAAAATGAAGAAAAAGAAGAAAAAACTGTTAAACGTTATGATCCATGTGGCGATCACAAAAATGAAGAACAATCAAGTGCTTGTAAAGAAAGTGAAAACGAAAAATGTGACAAAAACGAAGAAAAATGTCCAGATTTTGAAAATCCAACTGAAGAACAAGAAAATGAAACTGTCCAATCTTGCACGAATAAAAATTCTACTGAAACACCTTATAACGTGCAAGATGGAACTAAATGTCCCAAATTTTCAAATCCATGTCCTGACTTTTGCAAGGAAAAAGAAGAAAACAAAGATGATTGTAATAAGGAAACCAAACCTTTTGTGCCTTGTAAAAATGAAGAAAGCCAAATCGTCACTCCAGAACAAAAACAGATTAAACGAGTTGATCCTTGTAAAAATGACGAAAACAGATCTGAAACTGAAGAACGCCATGACTCCTGTGAAAAGGAAGAAACTAAATCCAGCAGTGAAGAATGTAAAAGAGAAATAAAACGTTTTGTTCCTTGTAAAGACAATGAAATTAGATCTAAGGGTGAAGAACGCATCAATGAAATTAAAAAAATCAATCCATGTAAAAATGAAGATATGAAATCCAAAAGTGAAGAAAGGATTAAAAAAAATAAAAAAATCACTCCATGTAAAACTGAGGACATGAAATCCAGGAACAAAGAGCAAAACAAGGAAATTAGAAAATTGAATCCTTGTAGACCTAAAAGTAATAATTCTAAATCTCACAGTTGTAAATCATCTGAAATAAAAGAAAAATCAAAAACAAAAAATCGTTGCGATATGTTAGAAGAAAAACAAGACCAAACTATCAAAAAAAGCAGCTTAAAGTGTCCCAAATTTGATAATCCTTGTCCAGATTTTAAAGAAAAAGCAGAAACTAAATGTCAGACCAAAACAAAGAAAAAGGACGACAACCTGAAAACGGAAATTTGTAAAAAGGAAGAAGAAAATATACCATTGAGTAAAGCTGCTAACACATCATTGATCATTGGAACTTATGGAAAACAACCTTCTTCTTCAGCTAGTAAAGAAGTTCTTAAAATAATCGAACAACTGAAGAAAGCAGTTGAAGAATGCAGAAAATCTTCAAGGAAAAGTGATACCGAACCTGGTGAAAGCAAAATCTGCACTTCAAAACACAAACAGATTAAACAAATTAATCCTTGTAAAAATAGTGAAAACCTCAAAAAAGAAGAAACCAAATCTTGCAGTAAAGGGCCTAAAAAGGAAATAAAACGTTTTGTTCCTTGTAAAAATAAAGAAATTAAATCTAGCAGTGAGGAACGAAACAAAGAAATTAGAAAATTTAATCCTTGTAAAAATGAAATGAAATCCAGAAGTGAAGAACGAAACAAGGAAATTAAAAAAATTAATCCTTGCAAAAATGAAATGAAATCTAGAAGTGAAGATCGAAACAAAGAAATTAAAAAATTCAATCCTTGCAAAAATGAAATGAAATCTAGAAGTGAAGATCGGAACAAAGAAATCAAAAAATTCAATCCTTGTAAAAATGAAACTAGGAACTCTAGAAATGAAGAACGAAACAAGGAAATTAAAAGATTTAATCCCTGCAAAAATGAAACTAAATCCAGGAGTAAAGATCGGAACAAAGAAATCAAAAAATTTAATCCTTGTAAAAATAATGACATAAAATCCAGAAATGAAGACCGGAACAAGGAAGTTAAAAAATTTAATCCTTGTTTAAATGAAGAAAAACAAGACAAAAAATCCGAAAAAAGCAGTTCTAAGTGTCCTAAGTTTAAAAATCCTTGTCCAGACTTTAAAGTAAAGAAAACGCAAATCTGTGGAAAGGAAGAAAAAAATTTACTACTGAGCAAAGCTGCTAACTCTTCATTGGTCATTGGCACTTATGGGAAACAAGCTTCCTCTTCACCTAGTAAAGAAATTCTTCAAATAATCGAACAATTGAAGAAAGAGATTGAAGAATGTAAAAAACTAAGAGTTCGAGACTCCCAATGTGTTGCTCCACCTAAATTAGACAGTCCTCTTCCAAAAGTGCCAGAACAACCCAAATCTATTGTTGCTGGAACCCTAAATCTATTTAAAAATATATTTAGTGCATTCTTCTCATCCAAGAAAAAAACTTCAGCTTCGTCACCATCAAAAAGTAAATCTGTTGATAGTTTGAAGAAAAAACAATCAGGAAAAGATTTAAGAAAGATTAAAAGTAGTGATGATTGTACAAAGAAAAAGAAAGAAGAAGCAAAACCAGTAAAAGGGTCGACGAAAAAGAAGAAACAGAAAGATTTGAAGAAAAGTAAATCTCTACCGGCTACTTCAAAACCAAAAGGGAAAATATTAAGAACAATATTTTCTGCAAACGGGTGTAAATTTGATCTAGACCCTGAACATTGCAAAAAAGTGACCAAAAAACAAAAAGGTGGCAAATCTTCAAAGAAAACCAAGAAAGCCAAATCAACATCTAATCTTCCAGAAAATAAAAAGGAAAAACTGAAGAAAACTGGAAGCCTAGATTGTAAACTTGATCTAAAGCCTAAACATTGTGAAAAGTTTGAGAAGAAAGAAGAAACAACAGAAGAAAAACCGACTTGCAAGGAGAATAAATCAAAAAGTAAAGCAATTAAGAGAATATCTCCATGCGTTTATGAAGAATTGAAATCAAAAAGCATCAAAATTGAAAATCAAGACCCTAAATGTAGACCTTGCACCAAGAGAAATGTACAAAAAGAGTGTTCAAAACACAGGTTGGTTGCTCCTTGTAAACCTGGTGTTTCTACCAAAAGCAAAGAAAAACCAAAATCCTTGGTTGGTCCTTGTAAGAAAAGTGGTAAAAGTAAGTCTTCACCTGATTTGTCAAAAGTAACCACTGGCAAAATTTTGAAGAAAAGTAAAAGTTGTGGTGGTAAAATCAGCCCGAAGAAAATCGACTGCATGAAAATAAGACCACTTGAAGAAAGATGCAGAGCAGATTTGAAAGATCAAGAATTGCAAGATCAAAGTCCTATAATGCAATGTATCGAGTTGTGTAGACTACGAAAATTAGGAAAAGTCCCCTCAAAGGATGAAAAAGATCTTAAAGTGAAGAAACTTGTCGAGTTTTATGAAACAAAAAAAGAATGTAGTGAAAAATCTGTGAAGAAAATAAAACCGTGCAAGTCTTCGAAATCCGAATCTTCAAAAAAAGAAGAAATCAAGCTGTTTATCCCTTGCAAACATGAAGAAATTAAATCACCTTTGCGGTCAGGTGAAGAAGGAAAAGATACAAACAAACCTTTTGTTCCTTGCAGGTATGAAGAAATCAAATCAGCATTACGTGGAACTAAAGAAAGAAAAAGTTTAACAGTTGAAAATAAATGTCGTCCAAAAACTAAAACTTGCAAACCAAAAATTGAGAAAAAGTCAAAACAAGTTGATCCATGTAGGTTAGGAAAAGAAGACACCAAATGTCTAACTGAAGAAAAATCAAAACAAGTTATGAAGATTGATCCATGTAGGTTTGGAAAAGAAGAAACTAAATGTCCAACTGAAGAAAAATCACACCAAATTGCAAAAATTAACCCATGTAGATTAGAAAAAGAAGATACCAAATGTGCATCCGAATTAAAAAAATTATTTTTTGAAGAAAAAAAGAAAATAGTCAAAGTTGATCCTTGTCGCAACGATGCGAAAAGTGTAAGCAAAAAAGTTAAAGATTTATGTCTCCTAGTTACGAAACAGGAAGATACCAAAAAACAAAATGTCTGTAAGTTGACAAAACAACAAGAAGAGAAAAAAACTTGTCAAAAAATGGAGAAAACTAAATGTGATGAGTTGACCGAAAAAGAGGACAACAATAGTGTTGGTGTAAGCCCAAAATGTCCCAAATTTAAAAACCCTTGCCCCGATTTTTCCAATGAAAAGAGCTGTTCTTCAGGAAAAACGGAAGAAAGCTTGACAAAAAAGCAAAACTGTCCGAAATTTCAAAATCAAGAAGAAAGCTTAAAATGTCCGCAATTTGAAAATCCCGAAGATTGTCCCCCAGGAAAAAATGAAACTGAAGAATGTACAGAAACGAAGAAGGAAGAAAAACAGTGTAAATGTAAGATGTGCAAATGTGTCGATTGTAAATGTGGGAAGAAAAAAATTGATCGGTTTGGAGTAAAAGTAGATCCGTGTAGAAAAATAAAAGAAGAAACAGAAGAAAAGAAGAAAACTGGCCCAAAACACAACAAATGTTCATGTAAGAGGTGTGAATATGTGAATCATAAATTAAAAAACGTAAAAATTAGAATTGACAGGTCTGGATTGAAAGCAAGTTCATCTTTGAAGAAAGAAGAAGTTAAAGTCAATAGTGAGGAAGAGAAAAAAAGTGACAGAGATCCCAACTTCTTTTATAATTATTGTTTGAACGAATTGGAACCAAAGAAAAAGAAAGAAGAAGATTGTCTTATTGAAGAAAAAGGTGACAAGGGCTCAGATTTTTTCTACAATTATTGCCTGAAAGAATACAACCCGACAAAAAAAGAGAAGAAAGACGATGAAAACTGATTTATTATCAAACTTTACATTTTAGCACAACTTTTGGAAATAATATTGTGATTGTCTTGTAACTTTTTAGGTCAATATACATTTCGCATTTTTTTTTAATAAAATTATTTACCCGAGACTTATCATAACTTGCATCCGAGGTGAGTAAGGGTCTCTATCGTTGAAAATCGCCGGAGCACTTGCTCTAATCGTGAAATAATTTTCAATGCAAGTTTTCGTTTTATCGATGTTGTAGTAGGCAGCATGGAGGAAGAGGTAGATGTACTCATCTGAAATGTGAGGCAAGTGGGGTTGCGAATTCATCCTGAAACAAAAAAAATTACTAAATTTGTAACTTGGGAAGGGAATGAATTTGAGAGTTGAGCTGTTGTGCTCAAATTACATAAATTGTTGCCCGACATGTTAATTAAATGTACTTTCTATAATCTGAACCAGATCGTTATGTATTTGTGCAAAGAATATAAAACAGCTTAAAATTTTCTTATCTTTCATGAATATTTAGTTTTTAAAATACTAAACGTAATAATTATTTGACAAAAAACTAATACAACATTGATTAAAGTTTTAATTTATTTATTTTACTTCTTTTGGGGCTTTTGAAAGATATGTAGAGTAAAAATACAATTTAATGTTTTTGGAAAATTTGTAGGGATAATAAAACATGTCACTTACAAGTTATAATTTATTATTATTACCAACTTTTATTATTCTACATGCGTAACTAGATAAATTTTTGATAGTTATTCAAAATTGTGTGTATACAGGGTGCGTCAGAACTCGCGCCCCAGAGAAAAATGGTAAAATAAAATAAGGTAAGATACCAGCATGGAAAAAATGTTAAAAATAAAAATTTCGAAGTTATGAGGGTTTAAATTTTGCATTTTGACTCTATTTATTTCTGTTGGAAAAATAATATTCCAAATTTTTTTGCTATAAATTATTATATATATAAAAAAATGTCAAATGTCAAAATTTTTTGACAGATAGAATTTTTTAAACATTTTTTCATGTTCCTGGTATCTTACTTTACTTGAAAATTTTCTCTAAATATTTTGATGTATAATAATTAATACATCAAAATATTTATTTTATGTTATTTTATAAGTGCTGTAAAAATGTGATTGTGTTTTGAGAATAAAATTTTGTTTTTGAGTTGGGTTGAGATTTAGGTGAGGATTTAGGTTTGTCAAATTATCAAACTTGGACGAATATTTTTTCGATAAAAATTGAATAAAATGTATAGTAGTAATCTTTAGATCTAATCTTATTCAAAAATATTAAAAATTTTGCAAAACTCAAAAAGAAAGAAAATTTGGAAAAAGTTTATTCTTGATCAAACGTTTATTATTATTTATCGATTAGTTTAAAAAAAATAGATAATTTACACAAAAACGTTTGGATAATAGTATATTAAAAAACAAGATTCATAAAACCAGTCTTGAAGCACGAATTATTTTAAAGAATGAGTGCTTCATGCCGTTTTTAAACAAAAAATTTTACTTTGGTAATGTTTTAATTTTAGAAGTCAATATTTGATCTAGGGTCTCGTTCTTTAATTTGTCTATTAGAGAACCAAAATGGAGGCAAATTATAATTATATCTAAACTTTTTATTAGACTTTTTATTGCTAGAATAATTTTTTTCTTGCTTAGGCATTTTTTGAGTTTATTTAATTCCCGTTGGGACTTTGTTTTGATACATCCAGTGTTTAACCATAATATTAATTCTCGCTTGCGTTTTGTCTTTATTAGATGGGTTATTTTTTGGTAATAATTAATTATAATTCAATTTTTCCGTAACTATGAAAAAACCCGGAATCGATTCAGGATATTGATACATTTCATTAAGAAGGCGGTGATAAAAAATGTCCTTCAACTTTGTAAACACTATTTCTTCCAATATTATACTGCGTACATTACCATACTATTTGGTTATTTATTTTTTGATTAATTTTTCAACATGTAGATGATGACACATTTTAAAAATAAATAAACATTTTTGAAAATGTTGCAAGAATTAATAAAAATATAACAAAATGTACAAATTAATCAACACTGTATTAAATTTAACATGATATTATAAGTGTTATAACGTTTAAGGAATTCGGCAAAATTAATTTTCATTTCATTATAAATCCATTTACAAATAATCTAACGACTTGTAAGCTCATCTTGGGGCAAAAACTCGACTTAAGTTGAAATATTCAGACAAAGGATCAAGTAAAAATATTTTAGATTATTTGAAGAATAAACAATAAAATTCTCTTTTTAATGTTAGAAAACTGATAAATTAATTCATACAATCGTACAATTAAAATTTAGAAACATTTTCAAAGAAGTTAGTTTTGGTTAAAAGCCATAATTATTATAAAATTAAATAATACATAAGTTTTTACTTTTCTATGTTATCAAAACGGCATATTAAAAAAAAACATCGTGATGCAAATTTTTGAAAAAACGTTTTTTTATGTTAAATTAGAACTTTATATCGTTTAGTATTGATAAAGTATGTATATTTAAATTTTTAAATTTTTTATTAATATGCAAATATCTAAATAAGTCCTATATAAGAAATTGTTGGCGAATAGTGTACATTAACCGATTTTTGCTTTTGACCGGTTAAATATGTTCAAATATTTGAAGGTATGTTGCACGTCAATTTTTTTATTTATTAATTAATTTGTTTTTTGATAGATTGTAACTGCCACTGCGTTATTTGTTTATTGTTTAATTATGACAGCACATACGCTACAAGAACCCCAGCAACGTTCAAAAATCGATTATTAATGTTTACTGTTACAGAAATAGATAAACATTTTTTTTCATTATGGTTATTAAATTGAATAAAGCATTTAAATAATTCTTACTTTTATTTCCATCACCATAAAATCACATTTTACAGAAAGACATTCAGTGCAAATATTTGTGCCTTTTTTCTTTTTTTTACAAATTTTTATTTTTGCAAAAAGTTGTTTCAGGGATGCCTGAAAAGGGTTTTGCCCCACTCTTATACCCAATTAAACAGGACACACACGATGTCACTGTGCTTAGGTTTAAATATGTGAACTCATTTCTTTTTCACCCTGTATAGTAAAACCACTGTTTCTCTTGGGTTGTATAAAAAAAATAAAGTAAATGTATAACTTCGTTTTAAATAAAGCATTTAACAAAAAAATTGTTATTATTATTTTAAATAAACCTATTTTAAATGAATAAAAAGTATAAAACTGCTTTCAGAAAATAATAAGAATAGGAATAAAAATTAATAAAATGTAGAT